AGGAAAAATATGCAATATGAAAATAATTGAAGACAAAATGTGTTTTACTGAGAAAAAACAAGATTTGGTTTTTAAAAAGCCTTTTTCCAAAAGGTACATCTGGAAAAAGGGGGGTCGTCTTATAATCAGGGTCGTCTTATATTCGGGCCAATACGGTAATTAGGGGGCGTTTACAAGGCGGATATCTGACACCAGTCAGCTGCGCACAATGTCAAGATCATTTGCGATTTAGAAATGTCACATCTGGAAGAGAGGCGTACGCATGTGTTTTTGTGCACACGTTCGTTTTCTCTGAATCGCACTTACACACTTTTTTAGAAATGATCTTAGAACAAATTTAGGACGGTTTATACGCAACATTTTATAAATGAGGCCCCTGGACCTGAGAGGTCTTTTCACCCATGAAATATTCACCCAATATCACACGGGAGCCGTTTCACTGTTTGTATCACTCTGCTTCCTGTATTTCACAGGGAGTGTCATGGTGGACGCACAAATCCACGACAATTTTATAAATAATACTGTTTTTGTGTCACGGAATGTAGTTTTAAGAGTTTATTAGGCAATAATGTACTTGTTTAGACTTCAAAAATGTGGTTTGTTAATAAAGATAACGCCTATTTGAAAATGTGACGTTTTCGGAGATGTGAGCTCCAGGGCGTCAGTGGCCGTTCAGCGCTCATGAACCCGCCGAGAGCAGTCTCACCTTGGCCAGATCTTCTGGAATTTGCCCCTGGCTCTGATGTTTCTATAGTGGTTCAACATGAGATATAATTTGTATTGGGTCAATCTAACGGGCAGTCTTTCGTCTCATTAATCTATTATTTGTTCCAGAGCAAATAGTTGTGGCTGAGGGCAAAGTCTCATAACTTTATATCTTTAATGCTGTATATCATAGCGATGCCTTTGTACTTTTGACTGAATTGCCTAGCAACTTTTATGATGGACGTTGTTGTTTATTAAATGTTATTGAATAAATTGTATTTTATATGAATAGCAGGCTATTTAATAATAGTATTGAGTATTGAGTATTAGTATTTACATTATTCCGCCATTAGATGGCGACAAGAGACTGTTTTTATGAGTGAGTCAGCAGTAAAGACTTTTATATTGAAAGAGACTGAAACGTTGTTGTAAACAAGGCAGTTGTTTGTACTCTCAACATTTTGTTAGACACAGCCAACAAAGTGAGCAGCGCTGTCATCGGAAATCACCCTTAACTGATGAAAGGACAATACGACAAATCGCTTTCCTCAGCGGACATTCAAACTCATGTTTTATTGTGAATATGAGATTGAGCTGAAGAATGAATGCTGTATCAGATGCAGGTAATCACACTCGCTCAGTTCATCTCTCTCTCATAATACTCGACTACATAATACAGAGAGCTTTTAATAGAGTGTCAGTGATACAATAAGCTTGTAATGAAGCAACTCAACGTTCCTTCGTTACTAGTTCTAAAGTGACGTTTCTGAATTAGACGGATCTTGGGCTCAGCTGTTAAACTGTCAAACAGAGATTTGAATCCGTGGCGGAAGGTAGTTCTGCATACAAAATGTTTTTTTTAAGACACTCAGTGGTTGTTTCTTATTTATTTACACACTTATTTAACTGTTTAACTATTTATTTATTTAACTGTTGTAAGAACGCAGTACCTACGGCCGAATCACAGCCATTCTGATATAGAGCGATATTACACGGGTACTTGTGTGATATTGCTCATGTATAACTATAAACGTGTTTATGCGTGGAATGATTAAACTGTCATTCTTGCAGTTTGGCTCCATTTTAATTTAACAAAGCCAACGTTCCTTCGTTACTAGTTCTAAAGTGACGTTTCTGAATTAGACGGATCTTGGGCTCAGCTGTTAAACTGTCAAACTGAGATTTGAATCCGTGGCGGAAGGTAGTTCTGCATACAAAATGTTTTTTTTTAAGACACTCAGTGGTTGTTTCTTATTTATTTACACACTTATTTAACTGTTTAACTATTTATTTATTTAACTGTTGTAAGAACGCAGTACCTACGGCCGAATCACAGCCATTCTGATATAGAGCGATATTACACGGGTACTTGTGTGATATTGCTCATGTATAACTATAAACGTGTTTATGCGTGGAATGATTAAACTGTCATTCTTGCAGTTTGGCTCCATTTTAATTTAACAAAGCCATTTTACTTGCGTTTAGTGCTTGACAAGTATTAATTTTGTTTGCACATTCATGTTTTATCTAAAACCGCTCACTCGTTCATTCATTTATCACTCAGTAGCGAAAGCCACATGTGAGTGAATGCAGGGCCACGCGCCTCACCCCCATAAAAAAAAAAAAAAATAATAAAAAGAAAATAACACACCAAATCTGATCTGAAACACATTTACAAAAATCCAATTTTAATTGCATTTAATTCACATACAGGTGCTTTCTGGATTGGGTTTGAGTTTTTGCTCTTCAGACTGCAAACAGAAACAGATTTGAGTCGGTTGCATCGACTAATGTTATTTTTGCTTTGTGTTTGAACAAAGTTATTGGACGTTGACACATCATAAGTATAAAGGACTCTGTCTGAGCTGTTAAATGATCAGTATGATGGCCAGATGGCCACTATTATCGCCTTTATTGTTGGGAAGGCAAAAAAACTAAACCATTCAAAGACGTCCTAAATGAAATCTCGGATCTTGCAGGATACGATCAATCTCTAAAATGGTTTTCCGCAAACACGTTCACACATTAGCAGATTATTCATCTGTGCTAATGATTCTCGTTTCTGATGGAGAGCGGTTGTTGGATCATGTATTACAGATGTTTTGTGTGTCTTTGATTGGATGTTTTGTAATCTCGGCTCGAGATCAGTGCTTGTATTCTCAACGGCCTGAAGTGCCACAATCAGATTAACTCCATCAAATTATTACAGTCCGTGTTTTGAGAAGCCTGCTGTAGGAGATAGGCCATTCCCGAAGTCGTTAGCTTAAACGTGTGCATTGCTAAAATACGGACATCAAAACAGACTTTGAAACACCTCTGGAGTTCCGCCGCTTCGCTGAAGGTGCTTTGTAAAAGTGATGACAAAAGTCTTTGTTCAGGAACAGAAGGTAAACACTGATTTCCCTTTGATGTGATAGTTTGATCTTTCTTTTAAGGCGGTTTTGTTTGTGTTTTCTCCGGTCTGTGTTCAGAGGGAAGGCGGGTCTTGTAGTGCAAATTATTCATAATAACAGAAACATCATCAGCTTTACTTAGGAACGCGTCTGTCGGCTGATGAGGACCAGATGTTTGCTGCAAGTATTTTATTTTTTAATTATGTTTATAAAATGGATAGTTGTGATTTTTAATGAGGTTCCATATTATTGTGCTAGAATAGCCTATTGGATTGCGCCAACAGAAGTTTAATGTGCATAAATGGTGTAATAAAAAGGACAGAAATTGCCATGGTAAAAATAATATTTGGTACAAAACACCGCATTTTCTGCTACCACAAAAAGAAAAAAAGTAATAAAAATTAAGAAAAACAGACAAAAATTACCATGGTAAACATGCTATTAGATACCACATTTACTGATACTATACAAAAACTGCCATAAAAAAATTTATAAAATAATTCTTCACTAAGGCACTATATCACTGTGCCTTTATTTGCTATAATATTGAAATTGAAAATGATATATGTAATTTTTGCATGAATAATTTAATAAATGCATAAACTTTTGTGCAGTCCTAAAGCAATCGCTGTTGGTTTCAGTAGGCTACATGCTCTTACAGTAAGACTAAAACTTACAGTAGGTTCACTGAACTCTTATTTCAATTATTATTTTTTTTTTCATGATGTGACCCCTTTAAGAGCCCAAGTATTAGATGAATGTGAAAACAGCAGGACGGCTGGTTCCGTTCCATCACAACACAAACACCTCCGTCCCTTTACACTCAGTGATGGTGGGGTGATACATCTTTCCGGACACGAGAACAATGCCTGTGAGCTCTAATTCTTCACGGCCGTACTGTAAATGGGCCACAGATATGATGAATGCTGTTATCGAGTCCATTTATTTGATCAACAATACAGTAAAGACAGTAATATTGTGAAATATTACAATTTAAAATAAGTGTTTTCTATGTGAATATATTGTAGGCTAAAATGTAATTTATTGCTGTGATCAAAGCTGAATTGTCAGCATCATTACTCCAGTCTCCAGTGTCACATGATCCTTCAGAAATCATTCTGATATACATATTTGCTGCTCACTTATCATCAATGCTGATCATGTTTTTGTTGTGCGCAGTGATTTTCTCCAGTGAATCTCGATCCAAGTTGGTCTGATCCATAGATCCAGGAGGTGAGAGAGAGAGAGAGAGAGACTAATGAATAATGCAGCGCATCGCTCGGTGTAAATGCTACTTTATAATAAAACGTGATATGTGAAATGTTGCGGCTTCCAGTAATATGACACTGACAGGACTGAGGGTAATTATTTTAACCCGACTCAGACTGCTTGCGCTGCACAAATCCTTCATAAGCGCCTGTTACAGATGAACCTACAACAACGAATCTAAATGTGAAAATGAATCAGTGCAGCTGTCTGGAATTTGCATGTAATGACTTCTTTGCTTGCTGTTATCGTAATACCTTTAATTTATGAATACTAATAAACAGGGCCGTCCTTAGGGGGGTGCAATTTGTGCGGTCGCACCGGGCCCCGAGCTTCAAGGACACCCCCCCCCTCCCGGAATGCGATAGCGAACGGACTGAGGGGGGCCCTGCTCCCTACCTCGCACCAGGCCCCACGTAAGCTAAGGACAGCACTGCTAATAAATCCCTAGAGACATTGCAATTGGCAGTGCCATCAGACCTGGTGTGCTGTTATTCAGGCAGCTGCTGTAAACATGTCAACAGTTTAACTAACTTGAACAAACCGCTCGGCAAGATTTCAAACTATTGAGCTGAAACAAAGACTTTAAAAGACGGTGCACTCATATTACTTACGAATGGGTCAATTAAGTCCCGCCTTATAATTAAAAGAGCCAATCGCCAGTTTGTAAAGTCAGTGCATCATGAAACAATTTTTTATTGCAATAAACGGTTCTAAATGCACGCTTCGGGCAGTGCATGCGCATGGCTGATGTAGTCCAAAATACAAGCTTTTTTTGTTCGTAAGAAACAATGTTTATGGGACAGCTCGTGTCAGATTTTGCTGCTGATGAAATACGTTATTTAAATGTAAGTGTGGCAAAAGTGTGACTTTATGCACAAATGAGATTTAAGAGCGTCAGCAAAGGAACATTTTCACAGTAAAGCTGTTGTTCAGCTTCAGAAGTCTTGTAGTGCGTGAATCATATAGATTAGGCTACTTGATATTATTACATTTTTTATCGTTTTTGAATGACTTTTTGTCATTTTTGATACAAATGTAGATACAAAAGCTTATTCCTGAATGCAAATGTATTTTGAGTGTAACTCAAAAATGAGATTTTAGAGCTACAGTGGAAGAGTTTCATGTAGCAGTGACTTAAATTTGTCACTACTAAAGTTATGCAATTCCGAAGACTTACATACACTGTTTTTATAATAGAAAATAGCATGTTTCTATATAGTGCTGCATGTGAGAAAGAAAGGCTTATGGGTTTTAAGTGACACGCAGGTGAGTAAATGACAGAATTTGCATTTTCAGTTCATCAGAAACTTCTGGGATTTAATTTTTCTGTTGAGAACTTTCTAGAACATTAATACAGCTGTGCTTGCAATTTTTCCCTATTAAGCAAGATTGATGTGCTTTGTAACCCAAATGATTGTCTGTGGACGAGGTGGTCTGGGGTGACCACTTCTCCGCAGTTCCCAGGGCATCACAGGTACTGTGGGTGTAGAAATAGAGATGAGAAACCAAATGTGAAGCTGGGAACTTCTGAGGGGCTTACGGAGGAATCGATTCTTCACCTCAGAAGGAGAAAATGCAATTGACAATCCTGTGAGAGTCCGAGGGATTCACCTTTACCCTTCACCGCTGGAGATCTTTACACACTGATCTCAGGTCAGACTCCAGGACAGAGTATTGAAACGCTGATCTTTGCTTAACCTGTGCATGTAATTAAAGTGCTTGAGTCAGTCAAACGGAGCATTCTAATGAGGACTATGACCAGAAATGTGATTTCCTAACTGTGAGAACAAAGAAATGCCCAATTTCAGTTCGCTGTTGGCCAAGATTATTTGGGAACAAAATACCACATTTATTGTTACTATAGAAAAT